AAGAAGAAGAAGAAGAAGAAGAAGAAGAAGAAGAAGAAGAAGAAGAAGAAGAAGAAGGAGGCGGAAGGGCGGTATGGTATGGTGGCGGGCTGTGGCGGCGGTCCTACAAGAAGAAGAAAAAGAAGAAGAAGAAGAAGAAGAAGAAGAAGAAGAAGAAGATGATGAGAGGGTGAGGAGGAGGAGGAGACAAGAGGCGGAAGAATGATCGGCGAAGAAGAAGAAGAAGAAGAAGAAGAAGAAGAAGAAGATGACGAGTGGAGCATTTTTTTGTTTTTGTTTTCTTACCTGTCGTTTATCTCGCGACCTATCGCTAACGAATGTAAAAAAAAAGAAGAAAAAGAAGATAGTCGGAAGAGGAGGAGGACGACGACGAGAGATGAAGAAGAAGAAGAAGAAGAAGATGAGAGGGGGATGAGGAGGAGTGAAGAAGTCGTGGAAGAGGAAAAGCAGAAGAGGTATAAGAGGAAGAAGTAGAAGAAGAAGAAGAAGAAGAAGAAGAAGAAGAAGAAGAAGAAGAAGAACAGACCGGCACTCCACGTCGACGGGCGGCAGGGGTTGTCGGCAGGCAGGAGCACCACGATGGACGACGCTGGTGACGGGCGACGGGCGAGTGAAGCTCCCAGGCGATGGCGACGAGGGGCAGCTACTTCGACGACGGGCGACTCGATGACGAACACAGGCGGCTGGAGCAGGTACCGAGGCCCCGTTTGGACAGCCAATGCAGGCCGCCCCAGCCAGTCGCTTGTTCAAACGGGGACTCCGTTTTCCCTCCAAAAACGAACGGCCCTCTGGCCGTCGATCATCCACGGCCAGAGGGCCGTCCCAAATTCAAAAAAAAAAAAAAAAGGCCTCACGGGCCCGACGCGCCGTTTTCTCGGCGTGGTTAGACCCGGTAGAACCTGGGGAGCCGAAATCTCGCCGATTCGGGGTCGGAAACCCCCCGCCAACAAGTCGTGCTGGGGGGGCCCGGCTCCCATCCGGGCCGCCCGCCCGGGACCTCCCCCGGGCAGGCGTCGGTCGGCCGGGCGGCCCGGATCCGTATGCAGCTTTTTTTCTTTTTTTTATTTGGACCATTTCTCTATTTATGGATAACATCCTTTTGCAAGGAAAATGAGCAATAGCGAGGTGACAATGTCCAGCATGCACAATCACATTGAAGGCCAGATAGTATCACAGTGTCCAGAAAGCAGAAATGCACCAATATAATACCAATGAAGAATCGTAACACTGAAAACCAATGTCAATGAGAGCTTGCTCTCGCCACCACCAACATGTGTGTCCAGGCCCTATCTTCCTATTTGGCGCTCGGCGCCCAGCCTACTTCCTACACAGCTACAGTCTGCCTACTAATTGACAATGCAACTGTTGACGTCAGCAGCCCACGAAGTACTTGAAGATGTCGCCCATAGCAGACCATCGCCAATACCAGGTATGTGCCCTCACATCATCATCATCATCATCCTTCTCTCTCTCTCCCTCTTCTTCACCCACGTCTTCCCTCTGTACACCSGAAGACCACCCCTGCGCCTCACTGTAGTMCAAGCCCATCCAGCTATGGRGGCTGGGCTAYGGCGCTGCCCTCAGCAGMGCCCTGCTCCCTGCACKACCGCACRMGCTAKCACCTTGCCTCTCAGCGCCMGCAGCAGCCCACGAGCGTCCGCTCCAGCAGCGCTGCCGCCAGCATGCAAGTGCTGAATGAGGCTCCAGGCAGCGAGCTCTTTCCTATATGGAAAGAGTCTGCCTGCCTTCGCAGCCTGGCTGGCCTGGGCCTGGGCCCAGAAGCTTCCGGTAGGCCCCAGGATGCTACTGGGCCTCATTTGGTTGGGCCTCCAACTGTCTGTGTATGAGGCTGTGAATCTCGCCCAGGGCCTGCGCTTTCGGAAAAGCCTAGATAGGCCGTGGAATTTCCTCGCTGCTCGGCCTGTATTTTCCTTCAACCAGCTGACACGACGTAACTGCCTGGACCCCAAAATACGAAATTGACAGCCGAGGGACTCTCGTGATTTATCAGGCCGGCCTTCACTTAGGGCAGCTGCAGATGCAACAGGGGCCCCTTAGGCCTGCTGGGGACCCAGATCCTCGCATTCCCTCCTCCTTTACTTCGATAGTCCTCTGAGAAGTTCTTATGTACCAGGCTGCTTCCCTTTCAGCTTTCTCTCGTAACTCGAGATAATTCGGGGAGCAGTCTTCATTAATTCCTCTCTGGTGAACCATCGGTCTTCTTGAGGATCAGTGTGATGTCTGAATCGCACTCGGTATTGCATCTGTGGCTTTGGCGGTCGACCCCTCTTCCTGGAGGTTTGGGTACAGCCATCAGCTTGTGCTCGACGATATCGTCAATGTCCACGTGTCCATCCATGGTTGGGGGCAGCATTGATCTCCTTGAGGGATCAGTGACAGTGAAAGGTGCCAACTTGGATGCATGGAAAACTGGGTAAGTACGTAAGTGTGCAGGAATGCGAATCACGTATGACGGTCCATCTGGTTAATCCCCTACAATGTCTACAATCTCCCAGGGCCCAAAATACTGTGGCATTAGGTTGCGTGAAATCCCCAACTCTTGACCCAGTTCAGATGATTTTACCCAGACTCGTTCACCTACCTGAAAGTTAGACTGTCTTTGTGCCTGTTCTCAGATGCAATCATGGCATCTTGAGCTTTCTTAATGTGCTCTACAGCTGTTGCAGCATCTGTTCGTATTTGACAGCGAACTCTAGGCTGCCAGGTGATACATTTTGCTGTTGTTCAGGTAATAGAAAGTCCAGTCAATGTCTGGTTGTTCGGTAGGCGAAATAGGATCAATACGAATGACGAGGATCAGGACTGTGTTATGTGTATGGGAGGTGTATCGGAAACTCTGATGCATTGCTTGCTCCATTGCCCGGAGGCAGAACATCTTTGGTCCATATCACGTGAATTATGGGCGCAGACTAAGGACATTCCCTTTCCACATAGCACAAAATTAATATTGATTGGAAGTGAATTTCCTAGAGGATGGAAGTCAGGCCACAAATATATCTTTCAACTTTTGAGACAGTACACCCTATGGACAATCTGGAAACGAAGATGTCAACGGGTGGTGGGTAAGACTCCGTTGACAAGAGGTGTTGCATACTGCGTAGCCACACGGGCCCTGCAGGGCCCGTCCCGGACATTCAGCCTAAAAGCCTAAAACTTAGGGCTTACAGGCCCCGGTCGTTTAAGCCTGAAAGCTGAAAAACGAGGGCCTGCAGGCCCTACCCCGTTTCAGCCTATTTCTGGGTCTTTTCAGACCCACAGTTTTCAGCCTGAAA